GCTGAGCAGGGAGCCCGATGCGGGGCTCAATCCCAGGACCCTGGGATCATGACCTGAGCTGAAGGCAGTCGCTTAACGGCTGAGCCACCCAGGCGCCCCAAATAATACGATTTCTTAAAAAGTAAATATGTGTGTGGTTATTTCTGTTTTTACTCAGCACTTTATCTGCATTTCCTGTTTTTGTCAGCCTTGTCAGAAGTTTGTCTATCTTGTTTGGTCTTTTTAAAGAATCAGCTTTTGATATGATATTTCTAAAATACCTTACAGAGTCTGAGAGACTTGAGTTCAAATCCCTGCTCCGCTACATGCTAACTGTATGACCTTGGACACATCATTTAGCCCCTTTGCATTTACTTCCTCATCTGTAAAATGAGAATAGCCCTCCTTATTGTGAGGATCAAATTAGAAAATTTACCTAAAGCATCTGGAACAGCGTGGGGCACATGGAATGTGCACAATGCATGTTAGTCCCTGTCCTCAGTTTATGTTTATGATGTGTTCTTTGCCTGAAATGCCTGCCTCATAGGCTTCTGCTAGCCCATGTGGATGCTATGTGCAGATTAGAAAAAGCTGTCCCTTCCTCAGGCAAACACAGCTTCCATTCACCCCCTCAGCCCAGAGCCCATGTGCAGTGCACAACCTGCATACCCATGCATGGCAGCCCTGCCCACTTGCCGGCTCGGTTTTCCTCCCTGTTCATTTCTCCTGGTCCCCGAGGCTGCCCATTCTTCAGGTCTTAGCTTCCCTGGTGAAGCCTTTCTTAAGAAGTTCTCCTATGGCCAGAAGTAATCATTCAGTCTCCCTCCCTCCCGCTGGCCCTCCTCCCACCCCCCTTCCGACTTTGAACTCACATCACATGTCATTTGTACATCTCTTAAAGCATTTATCTCATTTTGCCTCCTATCTTATTTAGTGCAAATGGTTTATCATTCCAATGGGATTAACCCCTGAAGTTAGGGATTAAAGTTTGTCTTTAGATCCTCCCTCTGCCTATGGGGCTCAGTAAATGTTAACTCGTATGGATGATTGAGTATGAAATGTAGGAGCCAAGAACAGTCATAAATAATACTGTGTGAATTGGGGGGGGCAGGTCTTTAGAGGCAGGGTGATGGTAGAGCACATGTGTGAGGGTGGTGGGGATGGAGGATACCACTGTTGAGCTTACCATGTGCCAGGCACTGTGCTAAGTGCTCTCATGGTTTATCTCCCTAAGCCCTCACAACATCTCTTTGAGATAGGTGCTGTTATTAGCTGGGGCACTGATGAGTCAGTGGTGGAGCTGGTCTACTAGGCCTGGTCTGTCTGACTTCAGCGTTCAGGCTTTCAGTGGCAACAACTAACAGAATCCCTCAACTGTACAGTGATTACCATTTATTTAGGACTTACTACATACCAGGCACTATATTTGATGCTTTACAGATGTTACCTAATCTCGATGGCAAAATAAAAGTACAGGGTAAAGGGTATCCCCACCTTGCAGATAAGGAAACAGAGGCTCACCAAGGTTAAGTGACTTGCCTAAGGTCACTTGCATAGGAAGTCATTATAACCAGATCTCTTGACCCCAAAGCATTCCCTTTCCTCTGCATCACATGCACAATGCTTGGGGCCCGCAAGAAAACCCTGCCACTAGAGCAGAGGAAGGTTTGCATAGGAAAATGGAGGAAGTTAAGGTCAGAAAGGCAGATCTGCCTCAGGCTGCAGAAAGCCTCAGCTTCCAGGACAGATCTTCAAGGACGGGCTTTTGGAAATCAGGAGTCCTAGGCAGTGACCTTAACTTGAGGGTACTGTGGGATGACCCGGCCACTTGGAAGCCAAGGGAGTTTGAGCTAACTGGAGCTCTATCTGAAACCACACCAAGGGGAGTATGGAACTTTGCACAGATCTAGGGAGATCAAAGCGCCAGGCCTGCAGAGAAAAGGGTTTGAGCAGATTTGCAGGTGGTGGTAATGAGTCCATCCCATGCTTCTCAGCGATCTCATCTTCTTGAGCCTACTTGTTTCCCTGGGCCGCTAGGACCAACTTTCCTCAGCCTCCTAGGTCTCCCTGATATGGCTTCTGAAGAGCTGTTGAAGAATGCCCAGGGTGGGGTAGTGGGGATTTGTCAAGGATGAAGTACAAGGAGCACAGCCTGGACCCCCAGGCATTTCTCAGAGCAGAGAGCCCATCTCCGGGCTCAGATGTGCTCAGAGATGGGCAGGGACGTGGAGAGCCCAGGAGTGGTGCAGATGGGGTGTTTGACTCTTGGCCTCCAGTTACCTAGGCCCAGCTGGTCCTCTCTGGGCCACAGTGTATCGCTACAGACATGGAGTCACCACGTGCCTCACTAGTGCCCTTCCCCATCCAGGTCATTGCGGTGGTCATGGACCTCTTCACTGATGGCGATATCTTCCAAGACATTGTGGATGCTGCCTCTAAGCGCCAGGTCCCAGTATATATCATCCTGGATGAGGCAGGCGTGAAGTTTTTCTTGGAAATGTGTCAGGGCCTAGAGCTCACCGACTTCCGTATTCGGGTAAGTTGTACCACTGGGGTAGGGGTGGAGGTTGGGGAAGGAGGGCGGGAGATGAGATGGAGGCTGCCTCTGACCCATCCTCTGCCCAGTTCAGGCGCACAGGTGAGCATGCTCAACACCTTTCTTTCTGTCTAAAACCTTGCTTGTGAATTAATAACCCTAAATTACATGCCCAGCTTAAATTTCAACTCAAGACTATTGAGGCTAAGAAGGCAGCTGTGGCCCAGTCCTGGGGTGTTCAGCCTGCAGAGTCACTGTCAGGATCAAAGCTAGGGTTATGTTTCTCTTCTGGGGAGCTTTGGGAGCAGGCAGGCACCACTCTGGGCTCATCTACGCTCAGAGCAAGATTTGCTAACTTCCTCTTGCTCTCCAAATGGGGTTCCACCTCTACGGCTGTAGGAAGCGGAGTCTAGTATAGACAAGAACCAACAGGCAGGTTCCACGGACAAGAGGGTTCCTCCTCTGCCCAAACAAAACTTGGCTCAGAGCCTCATGAGTGACAGTGCCTTTCTCCTCTTCTCAACAGAACATCCGTGTCCGCTCTGTGACGGGTGTTGGCTTCTACATGCCCATGGGGAAGATCAAGGGGACCCTGTCATCAACGTTCCTAATGGTAGATGGTGAAAAAGTAGCCACTGGATCTTACAGGTGAGTCGGGACAGGTCATAGAAGAACCCCGGAGGCCTATATTTGTGTAACAAATGTACATGGTCAGGAAGACTCTGGACTGGAGCCCCCATAGTCGTGGGTTTAAGGCGTATTATCTGATCTAATGGCAAAGAAGAGCCTCCTGGCCAGTCCCTGCCCTCAAAATTTCTGGCTACTAGATTATTCCAGAAAGACGGTCAACTCCTCCTGGGCATTAAGTATGGCTTGCCTTTCATGGTCCACAGCAGCTGGTTGCATTTTGAGGCTAGTCATTGGGTGGGATAATCAGGAAGCAGAATGAACCAGATCTGGGAAAGAAATGTGAGGGTGCGGTCTCTCTTGCTCAGGCCTGTGGTGCCAGCAGGATGGGTAAGGGTCGTAGTTTTCGTACTGCCAGGAAGCTCCATGGCCGACGAGATCAGAAGTGGCATGATAAACAGTACAAGAAAGCCCCTTTGGGCACAGCCCTGGACACCAGCCCTTTTGGAGGTGCTTCCCATGCAAAAGGAATTGTGCTGAGAAAAGCAAGCGTTGAAGCCAAGCAGCCACATTCTGCCATCAGGAAATGTGTCAGGATCCAGCTGATTAAGAATGGCAAAAACGTCACAGCCTTTGTACCCAGTGATGGTTGTTTGAATTTTACTGAGGAAAATGATGAGGTTCTGGTGCTGGATTTGGCTGCAAAGGTCATGCTGTCAGTGACGTTCCTGGAATTCGCTTTAAGGTTGTCAAAGTAGCCAATGTCTCTCTTTTCGCCAAATACAGAGGCAAGAAGGAAAGACCAAGATCGTAAGTTTTGATGGCGAAAACATGACAATAATAAATTTTCATATGCCAAAAAGAAAAAGAAAAAGAACTGTAAGGGTGTGGTGTGGAGGAAATGTGTCCCGAATTCGATTCAGAAGTCAGTTACCAGAACATGAGAGACTGTATCTGTGCAGTCTCTGTCCTCCAAGTAAACTGAAATCTAGGTGAGGCGAGAGACCTGGGCCCGTGAAGCCATCAGTAAGTGGCAGGAGTCCTCTGACGTGGCTAAAGTGTGGGGGTTTGCAGACACCGAGTGCTCTAAAGACTCAGAGAAGAGCCATTATTAACAAGAGCAGCAGGGCGCCTGGGTGGCTCAGTCGGGTAAGCATGTGCCTTTGGCTTGGGTCATGATCTCGGGGTCCTGGGATCGAGCCCCGCATCGGGCTCCCTGTTGAGCAGGGGGCCTTCTTCTCCCTCTCCCCCTCCCCTGTGCTTGTTGTGTGAGCTCGCTCTCAAATAAATAAGTAAAATCTTTAAAAAAACAAAAAGCAAAACCAATAGCAGCAGCTGCATCCGTCCTTATTCAGTGTGTGTTTGTGCCACGTCCTGGACTAAATGTTTTACATGTGGTGTCACACGTGAGCCTCACAACACTTTTGTGACTGGACGCCCCATGAACCCCACTTTACAAGGCCTCCAAGGGTAGAAACCAGGTGGGAATCCAGGCCTGCCTTCCCATGCCCTTGCCTGCTTTCTGCATTTGAGGCCAAGACCTGGGAAAGAGGGAGGATGTGGGTCCAGGAGGCCCCTTCCACCAGGCAGCAAGGCATCTGCCCTCCGTGGTAGATGAGGTTGGGGTGGGGGCAGCGGGCTGTGCAGATGGGACAGCCAGGGGCCTGCCACAGGCTGGGCCTACGTGTTGTGCTTTTCTGTCCCCACGTTCCCAGGTTCACCTGGAGCTCCTCCTACATGGACAGGAACCTTCTCCTCCTCCTCACAGGGCAGAACGTGGAGCCCTTCGATGTGGAGTTCCGGGAGCTGTATGCCATCTCCGAGGAGGTGAACTTGCACCAGCAGCTGAACCTGGCAGGGGGCGCCGGGAGGCTCGGCGTCAACTACTCTTCCACCGTGGCTCGCAAGCTAATCAACCCCAAGTATGCCCTGGTGTCAGGCAGCCGCCACCCCCCCGGGGAGATGATGCGCTGGGCCGCCGGGCAGCAGCGGGAGGCCGGCGGCGACCCGGAGGAGCAGGAGGAGGGGGGCAGAGGCGGCGAGGCGGCCCGGCGCCTGGAGGGCTTCCTGAATGACCTGGTCACGCTGGAGCAGGTGCTGCCCCCCGTGGAGCCCGTTCCCTCTGGAGAGCTGACTCGGAAGGACGGCAGGGTGCTCTCTCACCTGCGCGTGGACCTGAAGCCCAGACCCCCAGAGGCGCTCGTCCGAAACGGCAAGGGAGAAGCTGCCAACGGGGAGGCCACGGCGGCCAAGGACGGCAGGCGCTTGAGCAAGAGGCTCTTCAGTCGACGGGCCAAGAGTCCCACGGCGCCCAACGGTGTGACCGGCTCCCTCTGCACCGAGACCTTTGCAGAAGTGCGGCTAGTGACGGGGAAGAGGCCCAAAGAGGGCTCCAGTGCCGACATCTCAGGTGAGCCCTCCGCCCGCGGCGCCCTGCTCGCCACGCCCCCCATCCTCCTCCGGGAGCCTTGCCTCCTCTCTGCAGACAGGCAGCCTGCCGGCGGGCAGGGAGCGGGAGCCCTGAGCTCCGATGCTGCCCAGTTCCCCTGCTGCTCGGGCAGGTCCGAGTTCACTTCCTCTTCTCTCCAAGCGGAGAAGGACGGGGTGCCCGGGTGGCTCAGTTGGCTGAAGCGTCTGACTCTCCCATTTCAGCTCAGGCCATGATCTCAGGGTCTCGAGACCGAGCTCCTGCGTGGGGGCTCTGCGCTGGGCGTGGAGCCTGCTTAGGATTCTCTCTCCCTCTCCCTCTGCCCCTGTCCTCGTGCTCGCTCGCTCTTTCTCTCTCTAATAAATAAATAAATCTTTAAAAATAAAGAAATAAAAGGGGAGAAAGCTGCCTTGCTCAGCTGCTCTGAGGATATAAAGTGCTCAGAACAGTGCTGGACATGGAGTCGTCCGAGAGCTATCGTTGCTACTACCAGGCTTGGAAACTTTGTCCTTTGTCAGTGAAGAAACAGACACGGAACAGCTGAGAGGCCTGACCCCGGCTTGACCTCTGCCTCTGAGTCTAGGGCTCATTCTAGAAAACCTGTTCCCTGCCACATCACCTGTCATCAGGATCCAGCCGGCTCACACACACCCCACCCTCACCTGTGCCCCACCAACGCCCTGACCCACTTTCCTCATTTCTGTTGTAAATAGTGTGACTCGGCTCTTCCGTGTGCTTATTTGAGAAGTGGTGTTTGCCATGCTGCTTACATTCGGGAGACATTGTTCCTGGTGGCCGTGTCTTTCTGGCTGGCTCTTGGGGATCCCCTGGAGGTCTGGGCCCTTGTGTCTTTCTCCGGAGCAGGACTTTCTGGAGGCTGGGGGTGGCAGCCGGGGCCACTGCCCGTGCCTGTCCCCGCGGCAGCACCTCCCAGTGGAAGGGGTCTCCATGCTGGGGTTTCTCCCATGGCCGTGGCGCTCGGCAGCAGTGAGACCGGCCTCCCACCCGGCCAGGGAGGTGATGCTGGGGCCTTGGCCTGGGCAGCCTGCGTGCTTCCAGGTCTGTTGTGGCCCCCACGGCCCCAGCTCTGACCGGATCACAGCCATCTTCGCCCCGCCGCTGACCCCCCCCAAGCCGGCCACAGAACCTGGCGCGCCCCGTCTGCGCTTCTCCACGTCAGGACAGGCCGGGGAGTCCCTGTGAGTGAGGGACGCAGGGCTGCCAGTGGTGTACCTCCATTTGGCCGGGAAGTGCCCGGTCCTTCAGGAGATGCTTTCTCTCTTCCTTTTTCCTTACAACAACCACAGAGGTGGCTGCTAGAAGCTCAGAGAGGGGCATTCGGTGGGCCCAGGGCACAGTAAGTGGTAGTGGGGTCAGGACTCAAACCCAGGCCGGGGCCCGTGTCCTGCCAGTGGGGCTCTGTGTCCTGCACAGAGGGGTGCTGTCCCCCACTCCTGTCCCCGCTGGGCTCCCTGGCGCCCCCAACACCAGCTGCTCTGCCACTTTGCACCTCTTGTTTGGAGGAAGGGTTGCCATGGTGAACACCTGGCAGGGAAGGGCGAGGGAGGGGCGAGCCCAACCACAAGAAGGGCCACTTCCCGAGTCCTGACTGTAGGTGAAGTGGGAGCTCTCGCTCCCTTCAGCCCCTCACCCTGAGGTGCTGTTTCCATAGAAACGAAAGGCCCATTGTCTTGTCCCTTCCTGCCACCTTTCCTAAGTCTCTCAGCGGCGAGTTCCCCTGCTTGGAGGACTGGGCTGGTCACCGTCACTGACACTGCCCTCTGAGTGTTTTCGGACGGTGCCCAGGAGCCAGCCAAGCGCGTGGGGCTGCGCCCCGGGGAAGCTCCTCTCCTGAGTGCCCGGCACACCGGCACATAAAGTCAGGAAGGCCCCGGGCATGCCCAGCAGGGTCACCCTGTTCCTTCTCCATTCTTTAGAAGAAACACAGAGTGGCCTCATCCAGCACAGCCTCGGCTCACCTGGCTGGGCATCCCGTTCACGGGGGGCCTCGTAGTCAGGTTGCTAATGAGCCCGTTCCTCTCCCTGCCGCTTGCTTCCCTCAAAGGGCAGTGGCAAGAAGCAGGACCCCTCTCTCCCCACAGGCCCTTTTCTTGGCCTCCAGCTTCCCAAACACTGGACTGCAGCTGGGCTGTCCTGGTGCCTCGTCTCAGAAGCTAAGTCACCAGGACTCTGTGTGGCAGAGGGTCGTGTTCCTGACTGCATGGGACCCCCAAGGTTGGAACTAGCAATTCCAGTACTCTGGGAACTGTCATCCAGGAGGAAATCACTTTACTACCTTAGAGCCCTCACCTAGGGAAAGGATCCTTTTCCTACAGAACATTCAGGACATCATCAGAACAGACATCATGTGGGATCTCAGCTCCCAGCACTTTGCTCCCCATACCCTGGACCCATCCATTCACCTCCCAGGGCTGTTCCCTGTTCCTGAGCCAGGGAGGATTTCGGAGGTCCCTCTGAGCTCCTGATTCGGACTCTGTCCTCTCTCTCCCTGCTGCCCTCTTGTCCAGGGAGAGCCTGGGCTGATGGATAGGGTGGGTGGAAGAGAGAAATAGAAAAGCTAAGTGCTGGCAGCCTGTAAGATTGCTTGATAAGAAGTATATAGTTGTCAAGCCGCATGCGGATTTTTGCAGGTCCAAGTGTGGCCCTTGGGAGAACCTTCGGAAATCCCTTCCGAAGGTCTGGGGATGGGCGGGGGGGCGCGGGGAGTGTTGCCTCGTGGTTTGAAGGCTCACTGCCCCCTCTACTGGTGGAAGCTGAGCTCCTTTTCCTTCTGGTTTTTCTCTCAACTGAGACCTTGTTTCTGCACTGGGTGCACTTAGGACCTTTCCCAAGCCTGCCACCTGTGTCCATCCAGGAGCTTGGGACAGGCCCTCTGGGGCAGAGATCCCAATCTCAGGGAGCAGCATTCACTGGAGAGCCTTGTTAAAACACGGTGGGGAGTCTGTATTGCTGGGCTGGGCTCAGGAATCTGCCTTTTAAACAAGTGTCCTGAGTGTTTTCCCGTGTAGGGGGTCCCCAGGGCAGCGGATTATGACAACACTCGGATAGGCCCTGTTCTCACAGGGCTGCTAGGCTGGGGGGCGGGGGGAGGTTCCAGGTAATGTCCTCCAGGGAAGGAAGAAAGGCACAGACATTCCCTGACCAGGTGCTGGGTGGACCCGTGCTAAATGCTGTCACACAGAACTCACAACCACCCTGCCTGATGACATCGTTCACAGATAGGATATGCAGAGAGGCAAGCTTCTGTGTCCCTGGTCACTCAGGGAGATAGGGCAGCATGGTCTCTTGCCTCCCCGGGCCCTGCACAAAGCATTGTGGCTATCTCCAGAAGGCTAGGGTTAGTGCCACTTTCCTACATCATTAAAGACTATTTGGAAGGGCCAGAGGCTTCTTACCAATGGACTCTCGCCCTGGTATCCCATTAGTGGAGAGTGGCCATTAATACCCCAGACTACCTTCCGAGGTCGCCTGGGCCCATGCTTTTCTTCCCAGAGTTCTCTGAGGGGACTGCAGTGACAGTTGCATTTCCAGAACTCTCCTGGGTTCCCTGATACATGCATGGGGGGCCACCCTAACTGGCAGTGTGGTCTGGCTCCTAGTTCTGTGGCCACTGGGCTCCTGGATTTGGGACTTCAGGCTCACCTGTGTCATCCCTGGGGGCTGGAGGTCTCAAATGTCTCTTGGAAACCTGGGCCCCTGTCTGGGATGGAAGGTTGGGGAAGTGCTTCTAGGGTTCAGAGCTCCCTAGGGGACCTGTGGGCCTCCAGTTCCAGGAGAAGTCTACTCAAGAGCTGTCTTGAGTAGAGTTTCGAAATTCATTGTCACTCCTGAGCATCATGGGTCATGCCCCAGCTGGTATTTGGAGGTCTGACTTGATAAAGCCAAGCACTGTTATCAGTCAGGGTCCCAACCACACAGCAAGGTGAGGGGAATCGAGTGAGCATCCTTCGAGGAACTGATCCCACCTGGTTCTAGAAAAGAGGCCAGCATCCTTATTCTCATTGGCATATGTCATGATCCCTCTGCCTTTCTGGTTTCCCTTGGGCCTCGCCAGGGCTTCATCACCAGCTAGGTGAGTGAGGGCATGTACGTCGCCCAGCCAAGATCTATTGATGCTGCTATTGTTGGTAGTATTGGTATGAACCTTTAAGTAGCTTGCCACTGCCTGGTCATCCATTTTACTCAACAAATATATATCTATGCAATGTTTGCTCTGTGCTAAGTTCCTGGTACAAGAGCGAACAACACCAGCAAAACCGCTGCTCTTATGGAGTGAATACCGTGCTGGAAACAGAAGGACAGGGAGGGCAGTGACCCTTTTATAAAGGGTGATCGGGAAGTCCTCTCTGATGCAGGGACAAAGGGGCATTTGAACAGAGACTTGAATGAAGAGAGGGAGAACGCTGTGTGGACATCCAGAGGAAGAACCTTGCAGAAAAGGGGAATATGAAGTCCTGAGACCCCTAGGGAGGTAGAGCTCATGGTCCTTGTGTGGCATTCGGATCAGCGGCCTTGCCCTGACACCCCAGGCCCCTCCACCAGCTCCCACCTCGACGTTGGGTCTCACTTCACTGTTCGCTCCCTTTGAAGTTTGGCCTTCCCTCAAATCTCCCTTGGGCTGCCCATGTCACATACACTTTGTAAAAAAAAAAAAAAACAGAACAAAATGGCCATTTGTGTATTCTTCCCTGTGAACCTGAGCAGGTCTGATTCTCCTCAGTCCTGCCAAACACCTACACATGCTAGACTCTCAGTCAGCGTGCACTGAAGAAATGATGGCACACACGGAGTTTGTCCTCAAACCATCTCTCCGTCAGAGGCATGGAGATGAATCCTGAGTCTAAAGAATCTCTGCAGGCTTTCGTGGCCGGATGGAACGAGTGGGAGGCACAGCCTGGCAAACCTGGACTCTCACCCCCGCCTCTCCCAGCCTCCCCGGGCGGGATGGGGGGCGTGCAGGAGCCAGGGCAGAGCGCAGGCCTGGGAAGCAGGCCCATCCTTCCCACCGCGCCCCCCCCCCAAGCTACACTCCTTCCCCTTCTTCAGGATGCAGAAATTGATCTGCTTACCTGCCTCCAAAGTGCCCCCGCCCGGGGAGGAACTCTGCATCTGCTCAGTAGGCCAAGCAAACAAAAGACGCTGCCAAGGAGAGGCAGTGGGGACGGCTGTGTCCGTTGTAGCCGTGAGGGGACCGCGGGACAGCGGAAGTAAGCAGCGGCAGAGCTGTGTCGGAGGCAGCCTGGCACCACCGTGGAAGATGACCCAGGCGCCTTGATCCTCGGAGCCCTCAGGGAGGGGGTGGCACAGTCATCCAGCCCCCCTCCCACCTTTTCTAAGCCTTACACGCTCTCAAGCTTGGCCTCCAAGGTGGCCCAGCTGGACTTGCGGCAAGTCCCGAGGAGCGGGTTCAGTCTGCCCAGACGGGGGTGGCGAGCCGAGCTTGAGGGGGGTGGGGAGGGGAGGGGCTCCACTGGAGCCTCTTCAGTGTCTCCCTTACTAAGGGCCCAAGAGAGGAGGCAGCCGCCACATGAATTAACGTCACAGCTGGAGTGATACGGGAAGGTGGTGTGGGCGCCAGGGAGGTGATCCTTGCGGTGTGGAGAGGGGCCAGCAGGAAGGAGCTCAGCAGCCTGCACCCGGGAGAAAGGCATCCCGTGCCCAGGAGGACAGAGGCCCAGCAGCCTGACACCTGGAGGGCCAGAAATGTCAGTGTCTGCCTCTCCGCTCCCCCACCCCCCCTCCCCTCTGCAGCTCTGGGAGCAGAAATCCAGCCAAAGAAGCCACTGGCCTCCGCTTTGGGGTTGAAAGGAAGTAGAAGTGGATGGAAGGGACCTGGGAAGAGGAGAAGCATGCTTCTCTGGCCTGGAGAAGAACAGCTTTCTCTCCCCCCATCTTTCCCCTCAATGAAGTGTGCGTCCTCCCTCCTCTGTCTTAAAACCACCCCCCTAAGCCTGTGGTCTGAGCCGTGCTGCCTGGCTCTCCATCAGCCTGCTGACCCTGGTGACCCCTCCCGGGGTGCCTGCACGGTGGAAGGAGCTGAGGCTGGATTTGGAAGGCCAGGTGCTGGTGCTGGTGTCGACTGGCTCGGGGAGCTGGCTCGGGGAGCTGTAGGGCAGGGCTAATGACACCTCGAGATGCAGCAGCTACCCAGGGGGGTTAGCTGAGAGAGTGACTGGTTGTGCTTTGTAAGCTGTGAGGGAGACTGCATACAGTATTAGCTACTGGTAAACCACCTCTTGGCGAGATGTCAAGTCATCGATTATAGTTGTAGATTGGGGTTCTGGGTCCTTCGCGTCCCCCCCACCCGCCGCGACGCTGCTGAGTTCAGGAGGTGGCAGACCCCTTGATATCCCAAACAGTGACGGTCTTTCTGAGAGTACCAGACAGGGAGAACCTTTCCTTTTGCTTTCCTGGGGGCCCTACTGACTCCAGATCAGCACCTTGGGAGGGAGACAGTGACCCCAGCCCCAAATTTGAGGTGTGGGCATTGCACAGGAGAGGAATGGGAGGCGAGTCCGCTGAGCACTTCACTTACGTCTTCCTTGCCTGTGTCACTTGTCTCTGCAGGTAAAACAAGTCCCAGTCTTGCCAAGGCCAGCAATTGTGTGATTTCCTGAGCCATAGGTCAGCAGTGGGTAGGACCTGTGGATGCCCCCAGCCCTGTCCTGTGGAGAATACAGGTCAAACTCTGCACCAGTTTGCACTTCGGACCCTCACTTGCTTCCTGCCCGACAGCCTCTATCCTGGCCTCAGGGACCCTCAAGCCCAGATGTGAGAGTCTGCAGCATCTCAAGATGACCACACGCCCCTACAAGACTGTCGCTGGCTGGGCAGGGGTCACTCCTTCTTGTTTACATGAAGTGGAAGCTTGACTCATGTCTGCTCTCCTTTATGCTGGACCCCCTCCCTCCACTGGGCCAGCCTTGCCCTGCAGGTCCCCAGATGGGGTGAGCCCATGTCTTCATGCCTAATGCGATGGGGTCTCCAGGGCAACCCTAGCTCCCTGACTTCTCCTTCCCTGGGCTTCCTGGTGCTTCTGGTCTCTCAAGAGGTTTGGTGGGATATAAGGGAAGAGGACGGATGGGGCTCTGGGCCAGGGAGCCAGTCTTGACCTAGGCTCTGAACTCAAGGTAGAAGGTGCAGCGAGGACAGCTTGGGCACCGGCTGCTGCGGCCTTCCTGGCCCGGTTCCTGCAGGCTCCTGTACTAGACCTGGAGTGAAATGAGGGTCAGGCCTCCCCTCAGCCAGGGGCAGAATCTGACCCTGCCATTCTGAGAGCCCTCATACTGAGGTCTCCTTCCCCTCCCTCCCCACCATCTTAGCAGTCTCCACTCCAGTCGTCCAGACCTCCTTGGCTGTTGCAAACACATATGGGGGTTCTTTTTGTGCCTTTGCCTGGGGCTGCTCCCTCCCTTTAATAAAGTGCCTTGATTTGCAGCCCAGGGCAGACAGACAGAGCTTGGCCGAGGGTGGGAGGTTCAAGTGGTATGGGAGGTTAAGCCCTGCAGACAAGGGCATGTGTCCTTTCCCACCTCCCTCCTCCTCCCCCCCCCTCCCCTCCTCTTCA